AGCTACTTGCAAAAGGGGTGAATGTCACCATATACAATGGGCAAGTAAGCCATTTTTATATTTATAATCAAGAGTCATTTTCAGCATAAACATAAAACCTTAGAAAATGGGTTGCCCATATTCCTGTGGACCACCCAATTATCAAACCATTTTCATTTTTGTGGTTAACTGTAGCTGGATGTAATTTGTGCAGCAAAGGGAACTGAAGTATGGAATTTATTAAATATAACAGATTTGTCCAGCTCTTAGGTATTCTCTCACTCTATTCAATTTCTTTATTGGGTTATTATGTGTAATTAATTGCTGTGACTGGTGATTAATGGATCTCATTTTATGTCAATTTCTGCAGATAGATCTGGCCAAAAAATGTCTTTGGCCCAAATAGGCCCAAAGACAGAAACACCTCCGACGAAGATGAAAGCTCAGGCCCAATTCTGACGGGGCCCAAATCAGAGTTCCGTAGATAAGGCCCACTCGGTATGTTTTCCCAGCTCCTCACCATCTGGACCCAGGCCTCCTGATCCTGGAACATTTTTTGGGCTTACGGTCAACTCGGAACCCACAGTCGCCTACGAACTACACTACTACTTGAACTCTACTAAAGAAGTCAATTACTATCCCATTTCCTCCAAAGTCCGTATCCTAGGCATGTTTGAACTCCCTTTCCTGCTGAGATAAGGGAGCCAAAGACTCCACCCTTTGGGAAGACCATTACTACAAGGACTGTCAGTCCCACCAGGATTCGAAGACCATACAGTCACTATTTAAACTAAGACCAATCCTCTCACAAGGGAGAGAGACATTACACCTTCAGACACTAGAGTTCCCACTTGAGAACTTCGCATTACAACCGTAGTCACAGTCCCCAACTAGACTTCCGGTAATCTTTCCTTTCCCTAACCCTCACTAAACTAGCCTCATTCAGCCTTGCTGACTTGAGCATCGGAGTGCCTACGGTAAACACCAACCTGATGTTTTCCATCTACTTTATGCTTGTTTTCTCACGTGTGCAGGTGCAACAGATCGCTAGTGGCCTCAACCTCACAGGATTATTCCCTCTTTTCGTAATGGTAGATTTTTGCATCTATAGATCTCAAAGTTGCTTTGGGATCAGGGTTGCTTTGGGATAGGGTGTGTATAGCAGCGAAGGAATCATCAACTGAAAAGTTGTTCAGAAGGTTTTATGCTTCTTTTTTGCATGTTAGTTTCTATTGCTTTATAAACATTTCTAAATAGTCAACTTCTGCTTTAACTTCCCTTAAGTCATATATATTGATTATTTATTGCACGAGTTTGAGAGGTTGAGTGGATTTTTATTCAATGTAATAACTATAAATGGAATGGAGATAAAAAAATGAAATCTCGAATAAGGAGATATGTATAAAGCGGTGCCTTTTGGAGGGTGTATGAAATCTAGGTTTGTTTTTGTTTTGCATTGGTTGGGGGTGTGAAACAAAAAGAGGAAGAGATGGATTAAAACTGAAAACTTAAAATGGTGGGTGTTGGGTTGGTTAAGGTAGCTGAGGTTAAGGGGAGAAGAGGGTTTGTTTTAGTTTCGGTGTTTTGTTTTAATGGGGTTTAAGAGAGGGATGAGAGGTTGTGAGTTGGAGAGGGTATATTTTAGCCTAATTTTAGATGGGAGGTCCTGATTATCAGTTGGTACCCATACTTTATATAAGGCCTATTTAAAGATTTTTTTTTTTCTTTTTGCTGTAGTGGAGACATGATAAAAAACAATAGTAGAAAGTTTGAGTGCTTTAGATGTGGATCTTCTATTTTTTTTTATTGGTTTTATTTTAATTGGATTTACTTAAAGTAACTGCTATTAGTATCAAAGTTATTTTCTTACATATCATGACCATGTCTTTGAAATTTAAATTCTATTTTTTCTGTGCTTGAAGTTTAGGTCTTTTATTTATTTATTCCTGCTGCTGTTTCAATAATTGTTCTGAAATTATTGAACATATTTTAATTATCCTTAGAAAAAAGGACCAATCTTCTAATGCTATTGAGCTTTGTGTGGATGGAAGAAGATAGTGCTTATTGCTATTGTTGCTTTATGTATATAAATGTTGAACAACATAATAATTAGACATTTTGGGATATGTGAAGGCCGACTCTACGTAGAGTCATTTACCAAATTAAGGACCATAAAAATTAGACAATGTGATGAGTTAGAGCATATCTTAATCTCCATGGCAAGAAACCTTTCACATCTCCAAAAAGTCGAAGTGACTGATTGCAAGAACCTAAAAGAGATTTTTGGTGATGAAGAAATTGAAGAATCTATAGAACATACTGATCCAAAGGTATGTTTCTTCTATTTTTTTTCAAGTATTTTAATACATTTCTAAGTTTGTTTACAGAACAAGAATTGTGTCTGCAGGTTGTATTCCCAAAACTTTTAAGGTTGACTATGAAGGTATGTCATTCTTTGAAATTTATGTTTCCATCTACTATGGTTGAACTCCCAACGTCGAATGCAATTCACATTAAGGGTTGTTAGAGTTTGAAGACATTCTTCTCCAAGAAAGAATGTGAAGAAATGAACTTAGAGAATGACACCACTGTTATACATCCTTTCTTTGATGAAAAGGTATTTTTTTTTTTTCAGAAGCTCATGGAAAAGAATACATGGACATCTTATTCATCTTCTGTTTCATGTTATACAGGTTCATTATCCAAGCTTGGAGAAGATGATACTCTTACAGTTGGATAACATCCAGTTAATATGGCACAATAAACTCGAAGCAGATTCTTTTTGCAAACTCAGGGTTTTGAGAGTTGAATTTTGTGGAAAATTACCCAGTTTTGTTCCTCCTGACACACTCAGAAGATTACCAAAGAATCCACAAACATTTCACACCTTTCAAAATCTAGAAATTGTAAGGGTTACAGAATGTTGGAGTATGAAAAACCTCTTTCTAGTCTCTATAGTTGCCGGTCTCTGAAAACTTAAAAGAGATTGAGATAAACTCTTATGGGTTGGAGGAAATTGTTGCCATGGAGAAAGTAGAAGTGCCTCCTAAGTTTGAGTTTCCTCAACTTTTCAACAACCCGATCGAAAAAAAAAAAAAAAAAGAAAAAAGAAATTTAACCAAATTTCAGGAACGAAATATTATATTCTAATTCATAAATACTGAAAACATAACTTTTATTTATAAAATAGGATAAAATTAATATTACTTTTTTTAAAGATAATATTTCTTTACACCAACAATAAATATATACTATTTATCTCATTTATAATATTTATTTTATTTATCTCTTTAATTATCAATTCAATATAAAATGAACTTCAATACAAAAAATATATATTTAAAACACAAAAAAACCAATAATAATATAAAAATGTATAATAAATATACCTGCGTAATGCGCGGGCGTGCCATCTAGTTTACCATATAATTCTGGGATTGAGATGTATAAGATTAGTGAGAGCAATAATAATAGAAAGCAAGATATTACTATAAATGATTTAAAATTAATTAATGATATAATTAATACAAATAGTATAAGATTTTGACTTAATATCATAATGTTAAATGCGTCATTTAATTATTAGTACAGTAAAACCTCTCTATAGTCATAATGGTGGGATTAATTAATTTTATTACTACGAGGAGATTATAATTTAATAGAGGTGTGGTAACAAAAATTTCTTTATAATTCATGTTTTAATAGTACAGTATTAGGATTTCAATTAACGTTTTAATAGTATTAAGATTTCAATTCAACGCTTCAATTGCCTACTTTTGAAACGGATAGAAGACCGTGTCTTAAAACCAGCAAAGATAAATGTCCTTAATGGAATTGTAAATGCAGTTGCTGCATTATCAAATTGATGTGAAGCCACAAACTATTGCCAATTATTTTAATAATTACAAAATTATGCAGCAAATTGATGTGAAGCCACATACTATTGTCAATAGTTTTAATAATTACAAAATTATGTAACAAATTGATGTGAAGCCACATACTATTGCCAATTATTTTAATCATTACTAAATTAGGATCCCCGATGTCGATGAATTGCAAGTTATAAATGAAGTGGATGAGGAAAATCAAAGAGTCATTGTAGAATTTAGTGATCAGATTCAACAACTTCATTACATTAATCAAATGGATATTAATGTCTTTTTTAATCATTCAAATTAGCAATAAGTCATGTATGCTATAACTAAAGAAGAAATTATTACTATAATTAGACAGTAAGATAAAGGAAATAATCATGAAGATGATAATACAGAAATACAAAAGTTTGTTCCAAGAAACTCTAAACATACTTAACAAGAAGATGTTCATGCTAGCGAGTAATCTACCTGCAAGTTAAAAGATGTAGTAACAACTCTAAAGCATAAATCATTATCTCAAACAACTTTAGATAAATATTTTATTTCATCTGACGGGAATTAGAAATATTATAACTTATTACAATGTAGAGTTTATTCTTATTTATAACTATCTTAAATTGGGAATTAATTTTTTTATGACTATGTAGAGTTTATTTCTATATAAAGTATCACTATAGAGATGTTTTACTGTATTATGTTTCCAACTTATTTTAAATTATCCACCAAATTCTATCTCCATAATCATGTCCAACCAAATTTGCCTTAAAAACTCAACCCAATTTCACTTTTTGAGTTCTTCTTTCTAAAAATTCGCATTTTAATTTTAATTTTTTTTTTTATTACTATTACAGGTTTAGATTTCATTTGGGTTTCATCAGAATCAGATTCGTTTAAAAAAAATTTCTATATGGGTTTCTATCAGAATCAGATTTTAGATTTTTATTAAAGGATTTCATTTTCATATAGAAAAAAATCAATTAGTTTCCTATTATTCAATTGATAAAATCACATGAAAATAAGTAAAAAATCAAAAAAAAAAAAAATTTGGGGACATCATTCCATTAATTTATATATTAAATTACTATAAGATTACAAATTTCATCATAGTATTAGCAAAATTAATCACAAACAAAAAGAGGAAGAAAAATGGGTTTGAGCTCAATTTTTCCAAGTTTTTTCTTTTTAGTTTTTTTGGTATTATTCATAATTGAAGTTCATGTTCAAGCTCAAAATCTTATATTTAATGTGGTGAAATATGGTGCTCGACCTGATGGAATATCAGATAACACTGAGGTATTTATTTTATTTTGATTTGTTTTATCTCATAGACTTTATTAATTTTGATTTTATCATTTTTTTAATATTATTCTCATAAGTAATGCTACAGTCATCAAAAGTAGTGCACCGAATGATGTGGCACAATCCTAACCGTCGATTAATATTAATACATAATTAATCAACGGTCAGGATTGCGCTACGTTATTTGGTGCAAGAATTCGGTGCATTACTTTCGGTGACTGTATTATTTTCCTATTCTCATTGTTATTCATTTATAATTGAAAATTTTCAAGCTTAACAAAATAATTTTTGAGTATAGTGAAATTAATTAATTATATTTCATCTAAACTTCACAATTTTCATACTGAAAATATTTCAAAAAAATAATATATAATTAATAATTAATTGTTTTTATTGCAGGCTTTTAATATTGCATGGAACAAAGCTTGTTCCTCTGAGGGTGGGAATGTAGTTTTGGTTCCAAATGGATTATTTTTGGTGGGCCCACTGTTGCTTAAAGGGCCCTGCAAGGGCCCAATTACTTTTCACATTCAAGGGATCTTGAGGGCTCCTACCGACGCATCTTCGCGCGATCAGGACCATTGGATTTCCTTCCAATACGTTGATGGGCTGAGCATCTACGGTGGTGGTTCACTTGATGGCCAAGGGTCCTCAGCTTGGTCCTACAACTCATGCCTTAAAGACCCACATTGCAAACCTCTTCCTGCTGTAATTTCTCTTCAACTTCATTTTGGTAAATTTTATATTTAAAATAATCTTAAGGGCATTTTGGTCATTTCATATTTAAAATAATGTTAAGGGTATTTTGGTAATTTTATATTTAAAAAATAATGTTAAGGACATTTTGGTAATTTTATATTTAAAATAATGTTAAGGGCATTTTGGTAATTATAATGTTTTTGGATGGCAAAATTCTAATATAATGTTTCACTTCAATATGTTAACAGACAATGAAATTTGATTTTGTGACAAATTCAACCATCAACCACATAACATCAATCAACAGCAAGGGCTCCCACATCATCCTTTTTGGATGCAACAGCTTCACAATTCACAACATTAAAATTTCAGCCCCGGGTGATAGTCCGAACACCGACGGAATTAATATCGGAAACTCGAAAAACATCCTAATCTTCGACTCGGAAATTGCCACCGGAGATGACTGCATCTCCATGAGCCCTGGATCCAAAACCATTAACATTACCAATATCAAATGTGGCCCTGGCCATGGCATTAGCGTCGGTAGCCTCGGAGGGACTCCGAATGAAGATGTTGTTGATGGCGTTCTTGTCACAAATTGCAACCTCACAGGTACTTCAAATGGTTTGAGGATCAAAACCAAAGCTAATCCCTCTTATCCCACCACTGTCTCCAATATTACCTTCCAACAGATTCTTGTTTACAATGTCGCCAACCCCATTATCATCGATCAACAGTACTGCCCTTCTAAGGATTGTAAACCGGTAATTTCTCGTACTTCTGGAAAATATCTTAGGTGGGACGGTTGTATCTTTTTGTAACGTTAGTATAGATAACGTGATACTTCTGTCTCATTCAAGAATTTTGTATACTAATTATGTTTTAATGTTGTTGATATATGTTATAAATCTTGACGGGGTTGCTTACAGGGAGCTTCAAGAGTCGGGATAAGTGATGTGAGATTTACAACAATAACGGGGACGACGAGTACAAGAGTTGCAGTAAATCTTCTATGCAGTAGCGCAAAACCATGTGAAGAGATTGAGCTTAGAGACATTAACATTGATTATGACGGCCTTCCAAGAGGACCTGCAACTTCTTCTTGTTCTAATGTTTATGGAGTTGCTTATGGCATTCAAAATCCACCCCCTTGCATAAGGAGATCTCTGTAAAACCAAGCAAGTTCAAGTTTAATTTATGAAAACCTTCATTAAAAGTTCAAAGGAGGATCTTAATTTGTAATCCTTTTATAATATGTTCCATTGGAATTATTTTTTCGCATTTAATGTTTGGACGTTAGAACAGGATAATATCTTTCATCTTTAATCGTGAGCTCAATGCAGCCGTCTTCGAATTTAATAGTGTTCATTAATCGGGAGTTGGGTTACAGAAACTTAACTTAAAGACCACTAAGTCTTAGAACTTGAAAATAGCGATCTTCCAACAGATTTTAAATGTTAATTACGGGTTCAAGAAAGCAAAAGATTAATAGCTACTTGTGGGAATGGCTGCATATTCTGTGTCCATAACCTCAATAAGCTTATTGGCTATGGCACCAGCATGAACAGAAGAACCTTCATATATCTGCAATTAAAATTAGAAATATACATAAATATAGACATAAATCACAAACACCACGCCAGAATAAATATATAAGGAGAAGATGGCCACCTTTGCGTTGAAGAGGAAGCTGTAGTAATCACCAATTTGGCCACTGGCAACATGTTGGAGATCCAAATGAAGCTCGTCAAGAACCTTGGAAACAAACAACAAACAATCCATCTTTTTTCGTTGGAGTGTGATGGTTACTTGGTCATGAACGATACGAACATCAATCTCTGTATCCTTGGATTTTCTCTGAATCCAGGAACTCCTTAAAGATCCATTATTATAGGACTGCTCGGAGGCATCGTCTTGATCTGTGTTGTGCCTCTTAATGCTTCTCTCTCTACTGCGTGATCTTTTTTCCTTCAGTAATTTGAGCTCGTCAACTGTTCTAACAAGCTCTTTTATGTAGTCAATAGCATCTCCCACTACTGAAGCTCTATCGGGCTTTTGTGGTATTTAAAAATCAATAATTGGATTAGCATTCAGCTAGTGTGATATAAAAATTAATTGCAGAGAAGAAGAAAGGTGTACCTTGCTAGGTTTAGGAACCAAACTCCCCAAGAACTTGTACCTGTCATTCAAATTTGTTCTCTTCTCCCGCGCCGTGGCATAGTGCTTAGTCCTCTTTCCAGTTTCCTTAGTGGACTCCAGCCTTTCTCCATCGCCCTCTTGGTACTCCGTTCCTCCTCCGCTTGAGGTTGACAAGCTGTAACCGTGGGGTACAGATTGGAATAACTCCCCGAACAAAGGAGGTTGTGGGGGCAGGTTAAAATGAAATAGCGGATTGCTATCTGAGGGTGGGAGGTCTCCGATAAAGCTGAAAGGAATAGTGTCATGGTTTGAATTTGCCCAGGTGGAGTTCCAAGGGGTATTGAAGGCCAGATGGTGTTGAAGATCCAGTTCCATAGTGGAAGCAGCTGCTGCATAAGAGAGTTGGTCAGAGAGCTTGAAATGCTCCTGCACAGCTTGAGGAAAGCCATCATCTGCAGCCTCGGCCATGGAGTTATTAGAATCAAAGCACCAAGTTTGATTATACATTTTAGAATTAAAGTTTAATCGATCTCTGGATCTGTTAGAGAGAAGTGTTTGACTGTTTGTGTTTGGAATAATGGAGACATTATATATTTAAACAGAATTAATAGCATTAGTTTAATGTGATAGATTTTATTATTATTATTATTATTATTATTATTATTATTATTATTTTGAGTTTAGGCATATATTTGAGTATTCACACTATTGATGGGTCTGCCAATCTGATGTAAATTAGTTTGTGTGGATCCCACCTATTATAACCACATTCCACAAAGATAAAAGATGCCAAATTAAAATTACAAGGTGTGGGTATAATTATCGGAAATTTAGGTCTTGGAATTCACTTATTATTTTTGTAACATAAATATGAGTTAACAGTTTTACCCGCCCAAATAACGGCTTAAGGATACTTTCTCACCCATAAATAGTGATGACAGTGGACCGGATTGGGATTGGGTACCCCTTGGCCTTGGCTCAAGCCCGACCTCATGAAAAAAGCCAAAGCCTGGCTCGGGCAAGTTATGGGTATGATAGGTAAAGCCCAAGTCCAGTTCGATAGGTTTTTTGTAACCTTAGGCTCAGTCCAAGCTCACCCATTTTTAAAATATGAATTTTTAAATATTAGTAAATTTTAATTTTTTTATATTTTTAATTTTAGAAACAATTTTTAAATATTAATTTATTTTTGAATACTCACCAAATATATAAATAACTTTCTACAACGTGCATCCATCTATCCATGTAGGGTTTGGAAAAAATGAGTATATATATGTAGGATAATCTTGTAATTAAATATAGAGTATAAGGGTAATTTAGTATAATTAATACTAAAATTGTCAGGGTTGGGTCTGAAGACATACCCAGGCTCGGCTCGTACCCGATGTCAGGCCTTAAAATTAGGCCCAGGCCCAAGCCTAAGCCCGCGAACATATGGTAAAGCCCGACCTTTTTCGGCTGGGCCGAGTTGGGTACCCAAAAATATCGAGCCCATTTATCCACTGACTTTTAAAATACCACTTTATTACCTAAATTTATATTCTAACAGACAACTGAGAACAAAATTGGTTTAAACTCCTAGGACTTTTGAAGAGAGGAGATATATGAGTCTTTTGATAATAAAAGGTTAAATTTTGGTAATTGAGATTAATCGAAATTTGACTTAAGAGGGGCGACTGCGCAAACTTTAATCGCTTGATTGTTGACGATTAGCAAGTTTGGTGGAAGTTGAGTTTGAAGGGTTTTGATGAGTGATTATAAAAAAAGAGAATAATGATGATGTGGGGTTGCAACGATGCTGGAATCGTAAACGGAACAAAAGCTGAAAATCCTCAACGACCAAATTTTGAGATCATATAATTTAACTTCTACATAAACAAATTTTGAAAAATTAAGTATATAATTACAAGCACATGGTTTTTCCTTAATCTATTAATTAAAAAACGGAAAACTATATTTAAATTAGATATTAAATAAATCCATCAAATAATATTGAATTTTACATAATCATTAATTATTTTTGTATTTGTATATTGCAGGCTTTTTATAGTGCATGGAAGAAAGCTTGTAAATCCAACAGTGAAACTGTGAAAGTATGGTTTTGATTCCACATGGAACATTCATGGTGCACCCAGTGATATTTAATGGGCCCTGCACAGGCCCAATTAATTTTCACGTCAAAGGGGCCCCAACAGCTCCTTCCGATGAATCCTCACGTCTTCTTGACCATTTCGAGCACGTTGATCGGTTGAATATCAATGGTGGTGGTACATTTGACGGCGAAGGACCCTCAGCTTGGCCTTACAACACTTCAGAAACTCGAACGACATTTAAATCTGTGATTCAGAAATAGCTACAGGAGATGACTGCATTTTTATGGGTCTTGGATCCAGAACCATCAACATTACCAATATCAAATGCGGCCGTGGCCATGGCATCAGGCATTGGCAGCCATGGAGGGAATCCAAATGAAGATGATGTTGATGGGATGACTGTCACAAATTGCAACTTTACATCTACTTCTAATGGTGTCAGGATCAAAACTTGGGCTGACCACACTTATCCAATCTTACTTTTGATCACATTCATGATAACAATGTGTCCAACCCTATTATCATTGATCAAAATTATTGCCCCAATATGGTTTACATGTAAACAGGTCTCACGCCATACCACATTGGCACATCATCTATATGTTCATTCTCACCGGTGACGAGGGACAGTTGTTTTTATCTAAGTTCTCTTCCTTAAGTTTCTGGGTTCAAACTTTGGGACAACCTACCATAATAGCATTGTGGTTTACCTGATTGTTTAGACTTGTAGGGTGTTCAATTAACTTCGAAAATTAGTTGAAGTGCATGCAAGTTAGCTTGGACACCCTGATTAAAATAAAAAAAAAAAAAAACCATTGGGTGATTTGATGGCAAAAGAGTAAAGAGGTTCAACACGAGTTCTTAAGTTTGAGTCCTCCCAGGCACTAATAGGGTGACCACTGAGGAGATTCATCCGGTCGTTCACTTCAGGATCCCAGGGTATTAGTTGAGGTGAGCCCAAACTGGACCGAGCACCCCTGATCACCAAAAAAAAAAAAAAAAATTGATGATGATACATAATTACAAAAATTAATAATTAAAAAAGAGGTTGGGATCCTTTTTAACTTAAATTTTTTACATGAATTTTTAAACATTGATCTATTACAATCTAAAAGTTTAAGAGTTAGTGAGGTGACAATGAAAATAATCACCTTCAACTTCCATCACATATTAATTAGTTAGATTGCAATAAATCAATGTTTTTTTTTTTTTTTTTTTGAATTAAATTTTTTTTGTTATATTGAAGATAATAGTTTTATGATGAATTAGAAGGATTAATGTTATTAATTATCACACTTATTAGGCCTTTTGTTTTTTTTCCTGTTGATTAAGTTCAACATTTTTTGGTGTGTCCAAGCTTAAATTGGACTTCTTTAATGCAATTGCGTCCAAATTTTAATGAAATCATTTTTCTAAATTTTTTTTTTAAAGGGTACACGTAAACTTTTATTAGACATAAATTAATTAAATATATATTTCATAAAAATATGACATTCTTCATTTTTAATACTTCTATGATATGCTTTTGAAGAAAGTTTGGACATTTTTTAAAGGCTGGTTTCCTATTAAAAATAAAATTATGCAAACCATATTAATTTGCTCCAATATCGTAGATGCAGTTAAAAGCTGCATTTTTCGCTCACACACACACACATATATATAGCGAATAGCAAAACATATGAATTATAGAAGAAAGAAATGAAAAAATAACGTGACTTGTAAAATAAAAATTCATGACTAACGTGTACAATAAATTGGGTAACTTAAAATTTTTACAGTCATTTTAAATTCTTCTCACCTATACCAACCCAACCCAACATGAATAAAATATAAATTTTTTACCAAAAATCCTAAAATCATAAGAAGATGTTGAAGCGGACTTCCACTGTGACAAGGAGTGGCCCATGCTCCAATCCCAACACTCTAGACCTCCAAATCCACCGGCATCCAAAGGTAAGAAAAGTAAGAAGAAATTAAGGACTTATGAGTTATACAATTAAAATAATTAGGTCAATAGCATAATTTTGGAAAATAAATGAAATATTTTCCTATAAATGAGATGAAATTCGTTCAAGCCAAGGGAGAGAGCATTTCTTCAACATTTCTTCTATTTTCTCTCAAATCTTCTATGAAACAAGCTTTCTTTCTCTAGGTTTTCAAGGAGTTTTGCATAATTTTTCAAAGAGAACAAGATAGGAGCCTTGGATATTCAATTTGAAGGGTTTAAGGTAAGGATTAAAAACTTTAGTTTTGATGTGATTTGAAGATTTGAAGTAGATATTGAGGTATAATGTTATATATGTAAGATTAAGGTGTAAAAGAAGTCAAAGGCAAAGGATTTGTTGGAGGTAGTCTTTAAAAAGGTAAGGAAGAACCTCCCATGACTTTAGGGTTTATGCTAGGGTTTGTAGATTTTTATGAAACCTTAAATTAAAGCTTTAAGGCATAGAATTAGTTGATGGCAAGTGTAGTTGAACTCATTTATTCTACTTATTGCCTTGAATTCATTATACATGAAGTTATTGCTATTTATGTTTTATGAGTTGTGATGTTTGATTGAAGAAAATGAAGTGTGGATACTGATTGTGGCAAAAATTGTAGTATTGGAGGCCACATGGTGTTGAATGGTTGCTATTAGAAGTGTTGATGTGTTGTTTGCATTAGCTTACAATGTTATAGCAATAATGGATGATTATGGGAATGAGATTTTACACTTCCTTTAAGATGTTAAAGACTATTAAGGGGAGGTTTATTTGATCCATAAGTTAACCTATTGGTTAATGTTAATAGAATTGAAGTGGCATAGTTATATGAAAATTCGAATTTAGTGAGCTTGGAGGTTTTGTTAACCCTGCTTCTATATTTCGACCATAACGAGTTATAAAAATCGAAATGAGTGATTCTGAAGCATTAGAAAGCTAAGACACAGAACTATAACTTTATGTCTATGCCAGAGCCAATTCGTTTGAGAAATGATGGAAAATGGCCTGAAGCATAAAACTGGTTATTAAAGTTAAGATTTAACATAATCAATTCTTTAGATTATGAATTGATTATTAATGTATTATTGTAATTATGCCAGTTACTAATGTTTACCCATTAGTTAGATGATCTTTGAAAATATACATGGTCATGATGTCAATGCATGATTAATGTTATGAAATGGCATGAGTTGCAATGTAATACATGTATTAAGATGATGTAGGTGAACAAGAGGTAATAATGGATTGATAATCCATAGATGAATTAAAAGTATTAAGCTCACCAAAATATGTATTTACATGCCATAAGTGTTAGAGATGCTATAGACATGATGGAAAACGCGTAAGCATATCCTCGTATACCGGTTGAGGAAAGATGAATATAGTTTTAGAT